TATTTGAGCGGGAAGCTTTGAATTTATTCCTCACTTCGGTCATAGAGGAATTACTGTAGCGGTCCGAGGCTTGGCACCTCGGACCTATCCTTACACCATACTAGTTAGTTTTCAAGATAAACACCTATCTTTCGTTTTTTCCCCCTTTGTCTTGCTCTCTCCACAGCAATGTTACAATGGTTCAAGTTGATGGTGGCAAGACTATAGGTATAAAGACTGCTGAAGATCCTCTCATTGTTATGCATTTAGATGCTGGTGTGACATGAAGAAGTTGAAGTCATGATGTTGGAAATCAACCTGCTTCAACCAGGAAGATGCAGCAGTTTCGTGACAGAAAAGTCTTTCCTTATCTGCTGTCTCAGGCTTCATCCACAGTGTTCCAAACATCTTGTATGCAACTGCTGCAAATGGAGGAAGGGAAACATCTCCCTGCTGCTCTCCTTTCAACCTCATTCCTTTGATATCTTCTCCGGGTGAGCAACTTATGCTTTTGAGCTTCTCATCCTCCTCCGAGGTGATGCTCGTCGGGCCTAAGCAACATCGTATCAATAATCTCAAACCAGAGTTTTAGTTCAACAACTTAATCTCCTTTTAGATTGAGAATATGAAATGATGTGCAAGAAATCTTTTGTAAAGAGTTCTTAACAGTACTTCACATAAAAAAAAAAAAAAAATCTTCACACAATAATAAGAACGAGAAATAAAATGAGAAAATTAACTTGTTTCCACCAAGCTGCGTCTTTTTTCTTTACTTTTGTTACCTAAAATTAGAGCAATGAATTTATTTCTATCAATAAGAATATTTACAATGGATTTAAAATGGTACAATAGTTTATGGTACGCTAGGTTATGCATCCTAAAAAGAGAGTGCCAGTTACATTTGAAGGAGAGATAAACAATAGATACGTAGGAATTCCTTGACCTAAAATTGCTAGGCAAAAAGGGGAAAAAAAAAAGAGATAGGCTCCGTACTTTTCGAGGTATGGTAAAGAAAGCCCTGATTTCAAGTTTTACGCAAACATACCTCTGGTTGTAGCATTTTAGCCCTTTTATAAAAAAAAAAAAAAAAAAATAACTGAAAATTCACTTGCAGTGGCTAAAAATCGTTAAAACAAGTGAACTTTGCTCATAACTCTAATTTGATAAAATTTGTTAAAGACTTGGTGTTATTTTTCCAACCTTAAATGCAAATCGGAGAAAGGAATTCAAATTTATTTCTTTGAAATGGAAGAGAGATGCACATACAATTACAACATCATGCCTATGTTTCTTGACTTGATTAGCTAAAATTTCTCATTGGCATTTTTAAAGCTGATTGGCCGAGCCTGGCATTGAACTCTCAAACAAGTCATTTACATTTCCATATCTCGGATCAAACCATTATGTAAAGGATATATTTGGCTTAGGCATGTAAGCTTCACAAACTTCTTCGACTAAGCCTTTGCTGCTCAGCTAGCCAAGGCATTAGAGACTGTTATCAACCATGTTCCAAAGCTTCTTTTTCTTTTGGTGCATTAGAAGGTTTGTTAGTTTCTATTGTAAAAATTTACATTATTGACTTTGATTTCTCAAATAAAAAAATTTAAATTATTGAGTATCATTGTGCTTTTGCCAAAAACAAACTTATAACATTTCTTGAATCTATGCCCCTACAAAATGAATGTTATACATGACTATTTTAATGGTTATAAATTTATATATTTAAAATAGGCATATGATGTAAAAAGTATATGGGTAATGATATGCGAACAACTTTTTTTGTATAATTTTTTTTTATAATTTTTATATATTATTAAATAAGTAAATGTATATAATATTACAACCTTAATAAAATGAAAAAAGTTAATTATTAAATAATATCTACGATTTTGTGAAAAAATTGTATAAAAAAATTGTTTCTTAATTATTTTCTAAAGTGTATGTCTATGCCCCACACAATTTAAAGGAATTTAAGCTTCCAACTGATTTCATTTTATTTTATTTTGATGTTAACCGATCTTACATTAATAGTGTTGATAAATACAATTCTATCAAGAATTCATGATAGTTATTGTAAATTCTTTAATACATATATTATTGGCTTACCTTTCACTGAATGAATATTATACAAAATTATAAAATTATTTTTTAATTTAATTAACTAAGAATAGTTTTAAATTTGTATATATAAACTTAGCACAAAATTTTTAAGTAAAATACATTAACAAATATTGGTTAAAGCTCTGTTTTGTTTTGCTATTAGAAACAATTTATAGTTGTAGTTGTGAGCTTACGAAACAATTGATATATATTTCTTAATAGTTTGAAACCATGTTATAAGTTGATATTTTTAAATACCCTAACTACTTATTAAAAAAATTATAAGATAAAAAAATTAGCCAAACCAAACACATTCTAAGCTATTTTGCTAGTTCTTGCTCTTAACATATATAATTGAAATTTATAACTAAGCAAATAAATTAAAATAGCATCACCAACACCCAACAATTGATCGAATAATAATAATAAAAGAAAAGATCGAGTGTAATTTAAAATCTTAGAAATGAAAAAGTTTTATTTCCGTTGTTACATACCTTTCTATGAAAACGTTAACGGATGATATGTAAGGAAACAAGTAGAGAGCTCCTTCACATTTTTCACCCTTGGAATTTGATACATAGGATACCTATTCACAATTCACAATGAAAATATACCCTTAGTTTGTCAAATAAAGAGCTCCTTTTTTCCAAGTTCAAGGATTAAATAGAACTAAGAAATGAAAATAATGGTTAGACTGAAAAGGGAGAGACATTTCTTTTTACTTAAGTGGGGTTCCTAATTTGGTATATATTTACTTGTTTTCATTTGACAATTCTTAGGTTTTTATTGTATGTCTTAATAATTAAGAATTTAAATATTTGTGTTGGAGGTATTAAATTTAAGTTTTGAGATAAATTTGATGGTTTAAAAAAAAATAAATTTATATAACCTACCATTTGATATACTAAAAAAATAACATTTCTCTCCTTCGAACTATTCTTTTCTAACCATATATTAAGAAATTATCTAAGCAAACACGCTTATGTTGTTTTGTTACATTTGAGGTGCTTAAAATGGGCCCTATAACATATATGCTTTCTTGTGGTTATTTAGGTGCAGAAGATTCGAAATACAACATGTAACTATTGCTCATTTTATGTGTATAATACAGTTGTCTTGTACAATCAAACTAACCAAGCTATTTTTGGATGTAGAAAATTTGAAATGAAAAGCATGTAAGGATTACTGATTTTATGTGCATGATATAGTTGTGTTTTAGAATCAAACTTACCAAGCTATTGATACCCAACTATAGAACGAAGGATCCATGCTGCGAAATTCAATTAAACCCGCATATGTTTGAGCCAACTCATTGATCTGTAACAAACATTTTTACCTTGAAACCTAAATCTCTCACTGACAACTACTTTTAAAAAATTAAAACAAGAAAAAAGTGGGAGATAAATATTAGATTTAGTTCTCTACTTTTACTATAAAAATAATAGATATTGTCCCAACTTTTTATTTGGATCGAAAATTGTGCCAAACCTTTTTAAAATCACCTTCTAATCCCTACCTTAGTCACTTTTGTTAGATTCCTAATGGAAACCTTAATATTTAAAATTTTGAGTACCCACGAAAACTCTTAAACAGGAAAAATGCTAAGCTATTCTTTTGTGTAACACCAAACATATATTTCGTTTTTTTATTTTAATCTAGCTGAACCCAGCATTTTTTTTTCTTTTGGGAAAACTCTAAATATCTTGTTTTATTATTATTATTTTGTTGCCTTCTACTTAATGCAAAGCTTCTGCTTTAATCATAGAAACTTTTTGCGTATGTTAATAATTTAACAATATAATAAAATTTTACAACTCAAATATTTTTTGATTGTAATTTATTTGTTATTTAAATTACTATTTTCTAAAATATATCAAAAAATATAAAATGAAAATTTATCTCAAATTATATAGGATTGCAACCTTCAACACATACATAAACCCTTAGCTGTAAAGAAAAAAAATTCTCAAACATTTTTTTCATAAAAAGAGTTAAAGTGTTTAAAGGGTCTAAAAAAATTTAGCACAAGTAATTTTAAGGAAATGAGAATTAAAATGAAAAATTAGGTCAAAATTTATACTGGACTTGACAAAATTCCAATTAAGATTTTTGTTGGGAACTCTACGGAAATAACTATTAGTAGGATTAAGTTTGAAAATTTTGAAAAGACTGGGACCATTTTTAGTTTAAATAAAAGATTGGGAGAATATCTAGTATTTACAGTAAAAGTTGATAATTAAATCTAGAATTTATCAAAAATGAAAATGAAAAGGAATGAATCTAAAAAACTGACAGATTTCGTAACAAATATACATAGGATTACCTTTTGAGAAAGTGGAACTCTATCATATGGATTCAAAACCTCATTATATTGGCAGTATAAGTAGCCTGGTCGATTCATTGTCTGACAGGAACCATGAGGCTGAGATGCAACTGAATTTGATTTGCTTTTTCTCGAGTTACTGATCAAAGACATTGTCATTTTGTGCTTCTCATTATCACCATTGCAAGTGCCACTTTTAGCTTTTGCTTTTTTAAAGCTCTTCCCTAGTCCCCTACAAGATATAAAGTATAAATTAAGAATTGTTTTGACTTAAAAAGTTTAAACTAACAGATATACAATGGTTCAAAAATAGTTTTAATCTTGAATGGACTATTGATGTACCTGAAAAAGGAGAGGGGTTCGAGGGTATAAATCTGCAAAGCAGATAATGACGGGGAATAATATTGGACCACATGATCGCCATTATCTAAGATAATGGGGACAGCAACACCATATGCACTCTACTCGGCATAAGAATGCCAGAAATCTTTTAGAGAGAAGCCTTCTACCATATCTTTTTTGGGGAATTCAAGCATGCCATTGGAGGTTTGATTGATCCATTTCTGTAAAATATTGTTCGCAAATAATTTGGCTTGAGATAGATTGAATTAATTGATATAAATGTTTCAAGATTAAACCTATGAGAATGATTTGGAAAACCCCTAAAAATGAGTAAATATGCTTTTCATCTGATTGAAAAAAGAATAGATATGCTTCATTTGATTACACAGAAAGGGTATAAAATTTCACATTTTTACCTCAAGTGGAAGCAAATAATAGACATGTATTTTCCAAATAGACTAAATGTGAAGGGAGAACTAAATTGGAAAGGAGAAAGGTGGGGAGTTAAAGAACCAAAATTCAAAAACCCCTAGGTGAGAAAAAAATAAAGAAAAATACAAATTGATGTACAATTCACCTCGGATAGCAATTTGGTTGGAATACTGGGAGTGATATACTGAAGAAAATACTCAAGGTTGGAATGGCTGGAAGTGGAAGACACTATAGGCATATCCCAAGGAGAGAATCGCATTCCAATCCCTTTCTTGAGCAGAAAAACTGAAGATGAAAAATTGAGTTAGGGATTCTCTTTGGGTAAATGTAATTCCTTTCCCTCACCTTGACATGGAGGTGGTGGTGGTGAAAGAAGGGAAGGAATTCTCCTATTTTGTGAATGGAAAAGTTGACTTCTCATGAAAAAAAATGGAGAAGGGCATGCTGATATCCATTGATATTAAATACCCCTATTAATCATTCCGTGTATTCTTATTTTCATTTATGGCAAAAGACAACCCACTCTCATTCAATTCACAATCT